AACGGTTTTTCCCACAGAAAGCACCCCACACCATGCAACTTCCGCCCCCGAATCTGTCGACTCCCCTGTACACAACATTGGGCATACCGTTCACGACATCGTCTCCAGACTCTCTATATTCCTGCCGTCCGCGAATCTGAGGGTAAACCTGGATTCATCGCTAAAGACGACCCGATTCCAGTCTCTCTGGGTCCATCGGAGGTGACGTTGGGCCCACAGCAGACGTTGACGTTGATGAAACGGCGTCAATATTAGCCCACGATATGGAAGTCGAGAATGGAGATTGGCAGCCCGCAACCGATTTCGAATGGTCTGTGAGGACAGTCCACCTCTAAACATCTCAGCCCTGGTGTGTGCACATGTAGCCGGCAGAAATCTGTCACGTAGGTGACGTAGGACGATTTGACGGTCTTCTGCTGGTGACGTCACACGTGGATGACCCGACCTTGGGCGATCAGAAGTGGTGGCAGTTTGTTGTAGACGACCTCGCAAGTCATACACAGTACGACGGCTGTATCCCATTGCTCTTGCGACGTCAATAACTGACCTTCACGCTTGCAACATGCCAACGGCACGTTCACGTTGCACATTTGACAATCGTGGCATTTCAAGTACCGTTAGAACTGTGGTTTAAAAGTGTTTTTTCAATTCTTGATCACGTGATCGACTGCACGTGCAAAACCTGATTTGGCACTAACGTCATTTACACGACGAATGGATGGGTTTGAGTGGGTTTTGCTAACGTTTTTCTAGAGTCGAAAGATAGGGATCCCATTTCGGATACATAGATGTATCATCAGAGAAAAATTATTCATTATTTTTCAAATTACATTTTGTGAAGTTTCTTTTTTGACTCAGTATACAATTTTGCCATAGAACGTATTCTCAACATCTTTTGCGTTAGTTTCGAATATAGGTCCACCTTTCAGTTTCATTAAGGGAAACAGTCACGAAACGATTCACAGACTGTTGTCATAAGGAAATATTTATTGCCTCCTGGCATCAGGAAACAGCGAATTGATGTATGTATATAACATTCTAAGATGCCTAGCGGTTAGAACAATCGAAAAAAAGACAACATTATCAGAAAATAAAGGTATAGTTTTTTGATGACGTAAAAATTGAATGACGTTATCCCGTCACTGCGCCATTCTAGTGTGCCCCCCTCGTAATGGAACTATTTTACATTACGTCACAATGTAAGCGACGTCACGATGCATGTCAGTTGTCATCGCCTCGTACGGCCTCCTACAGTAAACTACACCGTTGCATCACGTTTCTTGGTTTGCTGTTGCTTCACGCAGCTAACATCACTGGTGGAAACATTACGTTTATGTTTTACGACGGTTAAAATGTGTCATTTCGACTCACAAGTTTTCAGCGACACGGTAACGTTCGTAATGTTTACATTCCCACAATGCAACTTCCTCTGGATGTACTGATCTAAACGTACGCTGATAGTAGAAATGCAAAGTTCATATTGCCCCATATGGTTTACGTTAATCACAGATGTAATTAAAATGATTCAGAGAAGATATTTAATCCGAACGTAAACCGTCATCAAACTGTTATCATTTGCTTTTTTCTGGTAACGTTCGTCTTAACGTAGGGGGGCAAACACATCAATAGGACAGCGCGCCAGTTAGCCCTGTGCGAGGATTCTTAATTTAGGTCACCGACACCGTCGTTTGGTTTCTGCCTTAAATTAATCGTAATTATCTTTAGAAAGTATTAAATTTGGCATCTTAGAAAATAAATACACTTCGCCCTACCACCATGTATAGTGTAATAAAACACACTTTCGCCCTGAACTATTATAACGTTAAAGCACTCGGACGCAAGCGTCCTCGTGCTTTAACTATAATAGTTCAGGGCAAAAGTGTGTTTTATTACACTATACATGGTGGTAGAGCGAAGTGTATTTCTTAATTAAAATGTTGAGTGTGTTCGGAGGTCATACTCTCGTTCCAGTGCCGTCAGTCGTAACTGTACACTGTAAAAAATCCCTGTAATTTCTACGGTTGGACCGACGTGAAATATTCACGTTTGTCGCTGTAAACGAAAATAACGTCGAAATGCACGTAAGCGTTGCATCGTGGGAGACAAATTCGGGTTATCGCGCTCGTACATATTGTACAGCTAAGAAGTTGGCAACCGCGGGAGCTCAAAATTCATTATGATTAGCAGGTAAAGGCATAGGGCGTGACAGGGAGAGACTTTCCATGGGGCAGTTGTACAATTTATGGAATATTTGTTATGTATTGTCGAATATTTTATCTGTTTTTGTTCAACAATTTGATAGTTGTACAATTCATCAGTTCCGTGCAGATAGTGGCCACTATATCGTCATGTATCGATGCAAACACTGTTCATACTTATCTAGTACTCAAAGAAATTATGCTGCCCACTACCAGTACCATCGCAATGATGGCAATGTCAGATTCCCTTGCTGTTACGGCGAATGTAGACGCGATTTTAATACCTATTCATCGTTCAAATCACATGTAGTTAGAGATCACTTACACCCTGGACAGAATGTGCAGCGGAGTGACACTGAGATTATGCAAGGAAATGTACTTGCCTGCAGTATCTTTGATTGTTGAGAAAGGTTTACGAAATTTCACGATTTCATAAAACATTTGAAACTTCATATTGCAAAGCACGATCGTGTTGGATGTCCCTACAAACAGTGTAATTCGTGCTTCACCAAAGTGTCTACCTTTACAAGTCACTTATCTAGAAAGCATAGGTCACAAAGTTTGGAACATCTGGAAAATGATTTCATTGTGTCATTGATAGATGGTAACACAAGTTCTGTGAGTATGGTAGTTGATTCAGGCCTAAACATGTTAGATGGAGGAACCAACCCTTCTGATGAAATAACTGACATGAATAAAGAATTTGAACCAGAGGTCACTGATGACACATGAAACTGCAGAGTAAGAATCTTTTGCCAGTTAGTACCTTACAACAAATTGTTACTGAATTCCAGGAAATGCATAATGCAAGCCAGTCCATTCGTAAACACAATGTCACTGAGAAAATGAAAAAAATAGGACTGCCAGAGGAGGTGATGGGTGAAATTATTGATGAAATAACTGTCAGTGATATATTCTCATCATGCAATGAAGGACCTTTGAAAACAAACCAGAAAAGAAACACCTTTTATAAACAAAACTTTGCCCATGTTGAACCAACAGAGGTTTATCTTGGTTTTGATAACAATGAGAAGGCATCCTCATACCAGTATGTGTCAATTAAGGACACAATTAAAATGTTGTATCAGCATTTTCCAGATAGTTTTAATTTTGAACCATCAAACATTGAACATATACTCAGAGATGTGCATGATGGGAAAGTCTACAAGTCAAATACCCTTTTGAGTAGGAGGGAAAAAACATTCACAATAATCCTTTATCAGGATGCATTTGAGGTAGTAAATCCCTTGGGTTCAGCAAAGAAAAAGCATAAATTGATTGGTGTATACTACACTTTAGCCAACTTTAATGTTCACAATAGGTCCAATATAGGTCATATGCAGTTAGCTGTTTTGTGCAAGGAGAGTTACCTGAAAGTATTTGGTGCCCAAAATGTGTTGTCAAAACTGGTTGGAGAAATCCGAGAGCTGGAGTCAGTTGGTATAAGAGTTGGGGAAGATGATTACATCAAAGGGACATTGTTATGTGTAGCAGGAGACAACCTTGGATCTCACATGTTAGGTGGGTTTGTAGAAAACTTTAATGCTACTTATTTCTGTAGATACTGTTCTATAAAAAGGCAGACTTTCAAGAGTCAGATGGTTTAGCTAAAGGCTGTAGAAGGACAATAGAACTCTACAAGCACTCTGTTCAAATTCTCATGGACAATCCAGACATGGCAAATCATATGGGCATAAAATCAGACAGCATTATGAACACTTTAGACTTTTACCATGTTGCAATGCCAGGTTTGCCCCCCTGCATTGGTCATGACTTGTTTGAAGGGATAGTTCCATATGACATGGCACTAATGATTCGCTATTTTGCAACAGAGAAACACTTTTTTACATATGATCAGTTAAATAGGAAAATTGAAAACTTTCCTTATAAAAGCACTGACGCTTTAGATCGTCCATGCACTGTAAATCATCAAAGTAACAAAGCAGGAGGTCAAGCTATACAGAACTGGGTTTTTATCAGACTTTTTTCCCTTTTGGTTGGATCATGGATTCAACACACTGACAGTGTTTGGCAGTTGTATTTGAAACTGAAGGAAGTCATTGAAATTATATGTTCTCCACGCATATCTTTCAATCAGATCGCATATCTCAAGGTTTGCATTGAGGAATATATCTGCGATCGAAAGTCACTCTTTGCTCATACACCACTGCGTCCAAAACACCACTTCCTCACTGACTACCCTGAAATGATTTTAGCTTTTGGTCCTCTGATACATGTTTGGACAGTTAGATTTGAAAGTAAACACTCCTACTTTAAACAGTGTGTGAGAAAATTTCACAACTACAAACACATCACTAAAACTCTAGCATGTAGGCATCAACTTTTGCAAACCTATCACTGTTCTGTTAGTTTGTTTTCAAGTGAAATTCGCTGTGATGATGGTATCCCTTTTGTTACAGAAAATTACTGCAAAGATTTCCAGGAAGCTGTTAAAGAAAAGTCTTTTACTGGGATGAACACCATTATTTCCAATAAACTTGTGTACAGAGGAATAAAATATGAGACTGGCATGGTATTGGTGCTATCATTTGCAGGAATTGACAGTCATATTAGAAGAGAAGGCTATATCAAAGGGATTCTTGTCAGGGACTCAACTGTTTTCTTTCTATTGCATCTTGGAAAGTCTCTTCCTGTTCCAACACTTGGCCTTTGTGCTCTGATATTTGAAACATTTTCAATTGTATGTGTTAATACATCTGAACTTGCAGATCTACATCCCCTCAGTGAATATACAGCTTTCGGTGAAACTTACATTTCTTTGAAACACAGTCTAGAGAAATAATGGCTGATCCCACTGATGGACTTACTGAAGAAATAATGAACACTTTACCCAATATTGATGACACGTTGCTGCAGTCATTAATGGGAAGATTAATGTCATTGGGTGTAGAAACTGTTGATGATATAGGACTTCTACAGGAGCAAGATCTTGAGGGGTTTTTGAAGCCTATCCAGATAAGGAAAATCCTCACATCTGGTAAGTCGAGCACATTTTCTTGTTGATCTTTTTCATCTGTGTTTAGATATTGTGCCCCAGTATTGTTTTCCACAGGGGTTGACAAATGGAATGCCCATGGCATGACTTGCCTGGTTTTCTTTTCTTATGGCGAGCTGACATACTGAGCCAAAATCTTGTTTATTCTTTACAATAAATTCTCTCAAAAGCATTATGATTTAGTGGATAACTAATGTATATGTCAGTTAAGTGAATGTTTGAGCCCTATATGTATTGTAGATTGTATATTTTTAATATATTATTATATATTATTTCATTACAATAAACCATTTTGTTTACGGTGGCTGACAATAAAGCCAGATGAAGCTAGAACTAGTAGAAGTTTCTTACAATTGCTTCAGTTAAGTTGCATTCATATAATTGTACTAATACATACTGAATTTGTATTGGTTTTTTTTAAGGTGGGCAAGTGAATGTTCAACTTGCAAAAAGGTCCTCATCTCAATTTGAACCTTCAAGTCCTGTTTCTGGAACAGCATCGATGTCTCCTTTAAGCAGTTTAGGGTCACCAAGCCAGATATTCTTTGAGAACAGCACCAACACAGATCCAAACTGGGCTTACAAGGTTGATATTCCATGGACCAAAATGGGCAGAGATATAACAGGTCAGATTCCATCATGTTGCTAATGCTCATTATCAAAGTTGTATTCAACTCATGTTCGAAGACTAGATTGGTCAGCAGTCATTTTATTATGGTGAGTAAGTTGTCAGTGAAATGTGTTTTTATATATTTTTAAATTTTCTTCTGCTTCAAATTAGGAAATTTATATACCCTGTTAACGATATGCTCTTTCTTTCCTCCACCAGATCCATTGCAGAGAGGGAAAAGACTAATGCCTGATGCCAGGAGAAAACTGGTGAGAATCATTGTTGATGAAATCAGAGAGAGGACCTTTCATGCGACAAAAACACAGTTCAGTGTCATTGCAAAGAGAATTGTACAGAGGTTTCCAAAGAGTCTAGAGGATAGGATAGAAGATATTGTTGTAGGTACAGGATATGATTTATTTGCAAAGCAGCTCCTTAACAGAAATGACAATCTGAATAGACCAATGGGAGTGAAGATGGGTGTGAAGACAAGTGACGTAGGAGAATCAAGTGGGAAAAGAAATGATTCTCAGGAAGTCCAAGTTGTGGGAGAAACGTCAAAGAAGAAAGTTGATTCTTATGGATGCATTAACTTTTCACCAAGTTTGAACAGCGATACAGCAGAAAGTTTGGAAGAAATTAGAGAAGACATGTGCAGAAAGTACAACAATCAGAATCCAAAGGATCATGATTGGGAGATGAAAGAAACTCAACTTCGTGATACATACAGCTTACAGAGATACAATATCAATGAAGGAGAAAGCGTCAGGGATCTGTTGTCTAAATGGCCATTTTTATTCACAGAGAGGGGTCTGTTTCTCCATTTCAAGCTACTGGTTGGGCTGGATATCAGAAACACAATCTGCGAAGCTTTTTCTAAGAAAGCTCACAGACTGAACAAGTTTTTTAAAACAGAAGAATCTGGTATTTGTAAAGAAGCTGATGAAATCATCAAAGAGGCTAAAGCTCAAAGTGCAAAGGACAGTGTTATTGCTTGGCTACCTGCTAATATCCTTGCTATCATGAAGTACTTCTCAGAGAAGGAAGAACAACTTTTCTTGACAGTTGATGTAAGAACTTAGAACTTCTTAGTTATTAGTCGTTTTACAATTTTGGGTGTTTGGGGAATAACCTTGTCATGATATTTATTTTAGAGAACAATAATGGGTAACATGTCCAACCTTACCAATGAAAACCAGCCTCCTATCCAAGAACAAAAGCTTAGTGTCTTTTCACAGTGTAGTAGCTGCAGCAAGATGTATTTAATAACATGCTGAAAAGGATAGATGTTTATGAACTTCATGTGTTGCTTTGGTACTGAATATATTGTTATACATGTACCTTTCAGGACACGTCTACCAGAGCTGAAGTTGAAGCTGCAGACACAGATGGCTTGCCACGGATAGTTTGCTCTGGTAAATTTTGTGTGAGATGAGTAATATAGCTTGTACAGCAATAACCCAGTTTGGGGCAAAAGCTCTCTCTTAGCGCTTGATTCAAGAAAAAGCACGTATCTAAGGGATACACAGTCACTCTTGAGTCTTTACCCTGAGTTCTCAGATAAACAAAATTTCTAAACTAATTTTGTACTCTGGTAGAATGTCTGTATCAAAGTTTAGAACATAACGAATAGAAAAGAAACATATATTTGCATGTATCATTCATGTTACAGGCAGGAGTGTTATGGAGGCCAAAAGTTCAGGATTGTGGTTGACAGAGTGGTGGTGATGTCTGACTTGACAAGCTTTATAACATCCCTGAGTGCCCTGTTTGCTCTCTTTTTTACATTCTGAACATTCAGTACCAACATGGAGCATCAGCTACCTTAGAATTCATACAAAGGTGAGTATCACTTGCCAATTATTGCTTTTCGTGATTATTTCACTACAAAATTTCAGTATTGGGTGATTCAAATAGCTTATATGAAAACGTTGCTTGTTATAGATGAAAGTGTACTGCAGGGCTTGATTTAGTGCGTAGTTACTTGCACTGGTGCAACCCAATATTGCAATGTGCAACCTAGTTATTTGTCTAACATTACAAACATAATTATGTCATTATGTAAACTTTGAACAATTCAATAGTATATTTCTTTCATTACTATTGCACTAAAAGCAGTGCAACTGGAATTAGGCTGGTGCAACTAGTTGTTTTTTCTTAGGTTGCACCTGGTGCAAGTACAGGGGTGGAAATAACCCATTGCCCGACGCCCGAGTCCAGTGTTTTTTTCTGTCGGGCAAGCAAAATTGTATGTCACACTGTACCAGTGTCCAGTTGACTTTCCAATGTTAATTATGTTCTTTAAGTAAAAAATCAACAAGAAAACAGCTGGTATAGTGGAAAAATTATCAGGGCAAGTGATTTTTGCTTGTGCCACTGTACCGGAGTACACTAGCAATTTTAAAGTTATTTCCACCCCTGAAGTTGGTTAACACCTCTTAAATCAAGCCCGGTACTGTATTTGACTTTGTGGCTCTACTACTAAAATCTGCCTGAGGAAGCAGACTGTAAAGGAATGAGATTTGTTTTTTCTCATAAAAATTTCTTTGATCTCAAAAGTTAATGTTTTTAGAGATCATTCTGAAATTTGGATTGATGTTCATTTTATATTGTAGTGGCTAAGGGAAATAAGTTATCTATTTTTATCCCGTCACAAAGTTGGGAGGGATCTAAGAATGTCTGTCTCATCTGTCACATTTTGTTTGTAGGATAACGACTGTTCAATATTTCTGGATGAAATTTTGCACACAATTGAAATTGTTTGTTTAGTTAATTTCCAAAATATAATCATAATAGATTCAATAATTCATTCAATACATTTGTCAGAACATAACCTGTGAACCTTTTCCATGTTTGACACATTTCAATGGTTTAAAAAGAAAGTTTTTACTACTAGATTTCTTTTCCTATTCCATCTGAACAAATGGAAAATAATATCCAATGATAATCACTGCTTCTATTATTCATTTGATAGTAGCACCACCCTACTAACTAGTACCGAGATAGCTAAAGGTATTGTGGGCCATTTCTTTATTCAGTGTCATTGATCCTTGGCAAGTCCAAGTCAACTTTTGTGGTCAGGGTTTTCAGCTTGCACTCAATAGAAGTATTAGTATTTTATGCTTATCTTCACTGAATCTGCTTCATGGTTATTGTTTCTATGAAATAACACACACAGACTATTTGGTTTACTTTCAGATGTTTCGTTGGAATCAACCCAGACAGGGGCAGCAAGAGTGACCGAAAAAGGAAATCTAGTTGTGCTGGAAGTGTAAATGCCAAGGTTCTGCGACTTATCAACCAAATGGCGAATTTTGAATGGACTACCTGTTAAATTGTGAACTGTGACTGTTGTTACTGTTATCTCACTTGACTGAAAGGACATGGTGATTCATGTACAATTTATTTGGTGGAAGTTTTCCAAAGTTATTGTGAACCAGTTATTGTAAGTTTGTTTTTAGTGGCACCTCAGGTCAAAGTGAGTTTTTGGCATAGTGTCTTGTCTGTCCACCCATGAACCTCTTGTCTGAAGAGAGCTTTATGTTTATGAGACTATTTAGAACTATGACACATTTGTATCATCAACATTTTCTTAAATGATGGTTTCAGAATTGTCAGGTATAATGGAAAATATCTGGTGAGCAGCACGTTTCATGTAAAAAAAATTCATTGCAAGTGAGACAGCATTATAATTATCTTAGTTTTGACATGGCTCTGATGGTGTGCAAGAATGCATAAAGATGCATTTAGAGTTAAATTGTTCATTGAAACAGTGGACATAATATGTTTCTATAAATGAATCTGTTGCAATTGTGTTGGTATTGAGTTATGCAACTGTTAGTGACATTAGTTTGCATACCATGCAAACAGGCTAGTTGCCTACAATCATACTAAATTACTGCTATTAGAGAAATTAGCTTTCATATATTGCAAACAGGCTGTTTGTTTGCATTTGTATTGAGTACATCATGTTGAGATTTAAATCACTAGACTTTATGGCTCATAACTAAATGATGATGCACTAAGACTTAATTGCTGTTTGCATGATTTAACTTTTCTTTCATGGTGTTAATTACACTATTTAACACACCTTATTGTTCCAGATGTAATAATAAAAATTCGCAAACCTTCCTTCTTTGTCATGTTCTATGTATTTCAATAAATTCGTGTAGTTTTAGTGTTTTCCTTTTCATGTTGAAATACAGAATTAATGTTAATTTACAGAAAGACTGTGAATTGCAAATTACATTTGGAATGTTTATCCACGACAAATGTTTGGCAACCATGCTGCCAGTTATTTCGTCGTAAATTTACAGAATATCTGTTAAATTACGGAATCACTGTAAATTACAATTTACATTTCGAATGTTAATTCACGACAAAAGTTTGGCAACCATGCTGCCAGTTATTTCGTCGTAAATTTACGTGGGAATTTTTTACAGTGTATTCTATGGTATATTTAGTTGCCATACACGGTGACACATTAGTTTATCAGAATATTTCATCAGTTTACAGTACATGTAATACCTATATGTAGAAATTGACTCATGAGTGAACAGTGGCAATTTTGAAAAAGTCGTTATCGCTGCCAGGGTGAGTTCAGGGCAACGGGTAACTAGACGGCAAGCTCCTATCATCGCTGTTTATCTAAACTATAACGCAACAGGATTCGCCAGACATGCTGTTAGGAGTTAAATACACCCGGTGGGGGTTTCGAGAACATTTTTACGTTGTTGTAAATTAGGTTAAATAACATTAAACTCTTTCCTAACACTGAATTATTCGCCATGACAGTATGGTTTTAAGTATAATAAATATTCGCTTGAAAATGAACCAGTCGAGAAGTCTTCACTTCACAATCTCACCATATATGGTCACTCAACGAATCACACAGTATACGAAAGCTGAAATGATTGGGCGATGATGTTATTATTTTGATTCTGCGCACTCCTGTTTCGCTGTTAAATATAACTCTAATCAGGGGTCCAAATATGGACCTGTTGCACAAAGGGATTGTGGTATATAGTATCTGTTAATATAGTAGGAGAGCACATAAAGTCCCGATGCTGCGCGAGGGTTAAATCGATTGCCGTTTTGTACACGAGGTTTCTACCTTTATGGTCGTGCCGTTTTCTACTGTTGCCTTTGTTTACATCACAGGAAAGTTTGAGGAAATTGTGAGCAATGGACAGGTTGTCGTCGACGATGGAGAGGTTGTTGTCGCCAGAGACAGTGGACATCATAAAAGAGAAGACAGGAGAGGGGTATAAGTTAGTTGTCGAACTGCCAACAGGTTACAAGGTCGTCCTTGTCGGAGTCGGGGCTGTTGTTCTGATGTACAAGTAAGTTCATTGACACAAAGACAATCTACTCGTCATTGCATCAGTCGTAATTTCACCTAAATTGTGAAGTAAAACTGCTGGTATATCAAGATACAAAAATCAAAATGGTGTGATTGTCACTTCAATTATCCGTTGTCATCTCAACGGAGACCTCAATACTCGCTGTGGAGTGACCCAGGAATTATGTTATGAAGTCTTGTGCAATGTCGAAACTAGGCCTTAGGCAAACTCGTGCTTAGCCGAGACTTGCGATACGTAAATTCATATCTCGTGCTCAAGATAAACCTACTGTACGTTCACTGTCCCACTGTAGAGTAGATACCTCTTAATATTTCAATTATATAGCAAGGATTTAAATCATAAATTCAGCCACAGCGTCTTTAACAGATATTACTAATTTTCAGATTGTGGTTGACAATCCGTACCCACGAGATCCAAGGAAAATACTTAAACTACTGGTTACATTGTTACCTGTTTTAGAGCATGAGTCAACCAGTAAAATGACTCATAGCCAATTTTGTAAGTCTCATACCCATTTATATATACTTCATATGGATGAAACTAAATTGCATTAACAGATATATATACCTTATAAACGACAAAAGATATTTTAACATTCCATTTCATCTTCCTTTTGGAATACTTTGGTGAAATATTGCTAGCTGAGCAGACGACAAACTAAGGGACATAACTCTAATATCATACTACACCAATTCATATTGACTTCCCTTTCTATTGGCAGGCGATATTACCCAGTTATGCAATAAATACACATTTTGTTACAATCATTGTGACTACCACAGGACTTCATAAACCACCACACACACACACACACACACACACACACACACACACACACACACACACACACACACACACACACCCTCACACTTACCACTCTTACAGATCACCCACCCACACAGTTCATCTCTCACTAATACAGTCCACCAATCAAAAAGTCCACTCTCGCAGATCACTCACTCACACATTCCACCCACTCACACAGTCCACACACAAAGTCGACTCACTCACACTGTCCACACACTCATACACAGTCCACTCACACAGGCCTCTCACTCACAATCCACTCACACAGTCCATTCACACAGTCCACTCACTCACACATTCCACCCACTCGCACAGTCCACCCACTTGCACAGTCCACCCACTCGCACAGTTCACTCACTTGCACAGTCCACTCCAGTCCACTCCGCACAGTCCACTCACTCGCAGTCCACCCACTCGCACAGTCCACCCACTCGCACAGTCCACCCACTCGCACAGTCCACTCACTCACACAGTCCACTCACTCACACAGTCCTCCCACTCACACTGTCCACTCACTCACACAGTCCACCCACTCACACAGTCCACCCACTCTCCACACAGTCCACCCACTCACACACAGTCCACTCAATCACCCAGTCCACTCACTCTCAAGACAGTCCACTCACTCACACAGTCCACTCACTCACAGTCCACCCACTCCACTCACTCACTCACACAGTCCACTCCACTCCACACAGTCCATTCACTCACACAGTCCACTCACTCACACAGTCAACCCACTCAGTCACACAGTCCACTCACACAGTCCACCCACTCACACATTCCACTGAATCACACATTCCACTCACACAGTCCACTTACACTGTCCAACCACTTACACAGTCCACTTAATTACACAGTCTGCTCACACAGTCTACCCACACAGTCCACAAACTCACACAGTCCACCCACTCACACAATTCACTCACACAGTCCACACTCACAGTCCACTCACTCACACAGTCAACCCACTAACATAGTGCACTCACACACACAGTCCACTCACTCACCCACAGTCCACCCACTCACATAGACCACTCACACAGCTCACTCACATTGTTCATTCACTATGTGATCCACAGTCACACGGCACAACCTTCCTTTGTTTCAGGTATGCCACCTCAACTCATGGGTTCTTCAAGAAGTTGGGAATTCCAGGGCCAAATCCAGGAATATTTGGAGCAATTAGTGGAATCAAGAAATCTGTAAGCTAAACCAACATCTTTTGATTTTGTGCTTTGTAGATCTGTGACAGGAGATATACTGTTTCAGAACTGTTTGACAGTGGCTTTTGATATGGTATACATGTCATGGTGAACAGGTGCCAAGCCATGATATACACAGTAATAGTCATTAAGTGACAATTATAATCTTTTTAGCTGAGGTGCAGCACTGCCCATCTAGTTTTAACAGCAATATCACCTTTCACTTATAAGAATATCCCAGTAGAATCCCAGATGTAAAGAACACAATGAATCCAGATGTAAAGAACACAATGAATCCAGGTGTAAAGAACACAATGAATACAGATGTAAAGAACACAATGAATACAGATGTAAAGAACACAATGAATACAGGTGTAAAGAACTCAATGAATACAGATGTAAAGAACACAATGAATACAGATGTAAAGAACACAATGAATACAGGTGTAAAGAACACAATGAATACAGGTGTAAAGGACACAATGAATACAGGTGTAAAGAACACAATGAACACAGATGTACAGAACACTATGAATACAGGTGTAAAGAACTCAATGAATACAGGTGTAAAGAACACAATGAATACAGATCTTAAAAACACAATGCATACAGGTGTAGAGAACACAATGAAAGCAGGTGTGTAGAACACAATGAATACAGATGTAAAGAACATAATGAATACAGGGGTAAAGAACACAATGAATACAGATGTAAAGAACACAATGAATACAGATGTAAAGAACATAATGAATACAGATGTAAAGAACAATGAATACAGGTGTAAAGAACAATGAATACAGATGTAAAGAACACAATGAAAACAGACGTAAAGAACACAATGAATACAGGTGTAAAGAACACAATGAAAACAGATGTAAAGAACACAATGAATACAGATGTAAAGAACACAATGAATACAGATGTAAAGAACACAATGAATACAGGTGTAAAGAACACAATGAAACCAGATGTAAAGAACACAATGAATACAGGTGTAAAGAACACTATGAATACAGATGTAAAGAACACAATGAATACAGATGTAAAGAACACAGTGAATACAGATGTAAAGAACACAATGAATACAGGTGTAAAGAACACAATGAATACAGATGTAAAGAACACAATGAATACAGATGTAAAGAACACAATGAATACAGATGTAAAGAACACAATGAATACAGATGTTAAGAACATAATGAATACAGGTGTAAAGAACACAATGAAAACAGGTGTAAAGAACACAATGAAAACAGATGTAAAGAACACAATGAATACAGATGTAAAGAACACAATGAATACAGATGTAAAGAACACAATGAATACAGATGTAAAGAACATAATGAATACAGATGTAAAGGACACAATGAATACAGATGTAAAGAACACAATGAATACAGGTGTAAAGAACACAATGAATACAGGTGTAAAGAACACAATGAATACAGATGTAAAGAACACAATGAATACAGATGTAAAGAACACAATGAATACAGGTGTAAAGAACATAATGAATACAGATGTAAAGAACAGAATGAATACAGGTGTAAAGAACACAATGAAAACAGGTGTAAGAACACAATGAAAACAGATGTAAAGAACACAATGAATACAGATGTAAAGAACACAATGAATACAGATGTAAAGAACACAATGAATACAGGTGTAAAGAACATAATGAATACAGATGTAAAGAACATAATGAATACAGATGTAAAGAACACAATGAAAACAGATGTAAAGAACACAATGAATACAGATGTAAAGAACACAATGAACACAGATATAAAGAACACAATGAATACAGGTGTAAAGAACACAATGAATACAGATGTAAAGAACACAATGAATACAGATGTAAAGAACACAATGAATACAGATGTAAAGAACACAATGAATACAGATGTAAAGAACATAATGAATACAGGTGTAAAGAACACAATGAAAACAGGTGTAAAGAACACAATGAAAACAGATGTAAAGAACACAATGAATACAGATGTAAAGAACACAATGAATACAGATGTAAAGAACACAATGAATACAGATGTAAAGAACATAATGAATACAGATGTAAAGGACACAATGAATACAGATGTAAAGAACACAATGAATACAGGTGTAAAGAACACAATGAATACAGGTGTAAAGAACACAATGAATACAGATGTAAAGAACACAATGAATACAGGTGTAAAGAACACAATGAATACAGGTGTAAAGAACATAATGAATACAGATGTAAAGAACACAATGAATACAGGTGTAAAGAACACAATGAAAACAGGTGTAAAGAACACAATGAAAACAGATGTAAAGAACACAATGAATACAGATGTAAAGAACACAATGAATACAGGTGTAAAGAACATAATGAATACAGATGTAAAGAACATAATGAATACAGATGTAAAGAACACAATGAAAACAGATGTAAAGAACACAATGAATACAGATGTAAAGAACATAATGAACACAGATATAAAGAACACAATGAATACAGATGTAAAGAACATAATGAATACAGATGTAAAGAACACAATGAAAACAGATGTAAAGAACACAATGAATACAGATGTAAAGAACACAATGAATACAGATGTAAAGAACACAATGAATACAGATGTAAAGAACATAATGAATACAGATGTAAAGAACACAATGAATACAGATGTAAAGAACACAATGAAAACAGATGTAAAGAACACAATGAATACAGATGTAAAGAACATAATGAACACAGATATAAAGAACACAATGAATACAGATGTAAAGAACACAATGAATACAGATGTAAAGAACACAATGAAAACAGATGTAAAGAACACAATGAATACAGATGTAAAGAACATAATGAACACAGATATAAAGAACACAATGAATACAGATGTAAAGAACACAATGAATACAGATGTAAAGAACACAATGAAAACAGATGTAAAGAACACAATGAATACAGATGTAAAGAACATAATGAAAACAGATGTAAAGAACACAATGAATACAGATGTAAAGAACATAATGAACACAGATATAAAGAACACAATGAATACAGATGTAAAGAACACAATGAATACAGATGTAAAGAACACAATGAAAACAGATGTAAAGAACACAATGAATACAGATGTAAAGAACATAATGAACACAGATATAAAGAACATAATGAATACAGATGTAAAGAACATAATGAATACAGATGTAAAGAACACAATGAATACAGATGTAAAGAACACAATGAATACAGATGTAAAGAACACAATGAATACAGGTGTAAAGAACACAGTGAAAACCGATGTAAAGAACACAATGAATACAGGTGTAAAGAACACAATGAATGCAGATGTAAAGAACACAATGAATCCCGGATGTAGCAAAGACAGTGAATCAAAGAACACAGTGAAGATGTTCACACCTTATTATATAAAAGATATAGACTGATCCAAAGTTATTAAAGATGTGTACCAAATTTGCAGAGAATTGAAACGTACAAAGAAAGCATATTTCAGCATAAGTTGATGAGCCCTGTGGTTGCACATCCTAACCTCAGTGAAGTATCAAAGGTTGTACCTATACTGTAGAAATATCAATAAAACACAGTGCAACACAGATCTATACATCTATATTTTTTCACCTATCCAAGCACAAAACAGCTGACCAGAACTGTTCAAAGAGATGTATAATATCAATGTAGATACATAGTATAGATTTATAAAATCCAATTTTCTCATATCCTAAAGTTTTGAAAAGTTGATGTTTACCCAGCTGACACAGAACATTTCTCAGTGGTTTGGGAAGGTTGTAGATTAGTTATGGCATGACACAACGCTGTGACGAGGTTAGTATTACGTCATTTTTATCCCCCGCAACGCGTTTTGCGGGGGGTATTAAAATGGACTCTGTGCATGCGTGCGTGCGTCCGTCCGTCCGTCCGTCCGTCCGTGTGCACATTTGTCTTTTTTGTCTAAAACCGATCAATATTTCTTCACCAAACTTGGCACATAGATATATCTGGTGGTGTACAGGTGCCTTTTGGTAGTTTTGAAATTCTGAATAAAATATTTTTGGCCTTTCCATGGCAACCAGTTTGACTTAAAATGAAATTAGTGGTAGTGCTCTTTTCTGGAGCAGAACTCTAAAACCATTCACTATTTCTTCACCAAACTTGGCACATAGATAGATCTGGTGGTGTACTGGTGCCATTTGGTAGTTTTGGAATTCTGAATAAAATATTTTTGGCATTTCCATGGCAACAAGTTCGACTTTGAATGAAATTAGTGATAGTGCTCTTTTCCAGAGCAGAACTCTAAAACCGTTCGCTATTTCTTCACCAAACTTGGCACATAGATAGATCTGTTGGTGTACTGGTGCCTTTTGGTAGTTTTGAAATTCTGAATAAAATATTTTTGGCGTTTCCATGGCAACAAGTTTGACATAGACTGAAATTGGTGATAGTGCTCCTTTCTGGAGCATAACTTTAAAAACCTTTCAATAGTCTCCTTCCACTTTTCTTTATACACACCTAAATATTTGACGTAATCATGAAGAGTATTTTGCTATTGCGGGGGATATTGATGACTTTGTCTTCTTGTATAACCTTATGTCACAACGTTGAGGAAACGTTATGCTTTGGCCTCCTCACAACATTATAACAATGTTTCTTATAGCTTGGTGTCACAATAGAGTTTTCTGTAAATCTTTTCACTTTGAGATTCTTTCTTCTCTATTCAGCTACAGCTTCAAAAACTTACAACCAAAACAACATGCAAATTGACGAGCAACGTCAGGCCACAATGTCGTGACAACACTAATGGGAATCCACAGAATAACGACGAACGCATAATGTTGTGACACCATTGTGACAACATGAAATGGCTAGCTGTGGGTAGAGCATAATGAACAAAGTACCGAGAAATGAAAGGTCTCTTCAGAAGACACTGTAGCGTGTCTAGTCGTGGGTTTAGTTGACCATCTTTGTCACATTTCCTATGACTGAATGAGATAAGCTTCTTTACATTTTTGGTAGACATGTTCATGTTACAAATGCTTTCCATTTTAGGGATCTGTTTCGAAACATGATCAAGACATGATTGAGAAATATGGCAAAGTTGTAGGGTAAGTAGCACTTTCAATATCTAATTAGTTACAAACTTTTAATGATAATAGAACTAATAAGGACACATATAGTAACGAGCAGAATAAATGCGACAAAAACTTTATTTTGTAGACTCGATCCTACTATCAAAAAAGCCGAAATACATTGTTTCTAGCGGCCAGTAGCTTGCCTCGTTGGTATGGAATTATCTCCCTTTGGGTTCAGGGATGGCTTGATCACATGACCTGGTTGCTAGCAGACGATACCGAAACTTTGCCATGACGTTACAAAACTACAGAAATCGACTCTTGGCATATTTTGAAGCAGATATTACATCCGTAACTAGACTTGTAAAACTGACAGGACTGCATCGGGCCTCTGTTTTCCGAAATTTGAAGAAGTTTGATGCAGGGTTAGGGACAGACGACAGGCTGGATCGGGACATCGTGCTACTCTTGGGGCAAATGACAGACGACGTATCGTGTGTCTCACGGCGGCGTACCCAAACTGGTCTGCAAAATAGCTTGCTGTGAAGGCGTCAAGTCAAGGAACCCCTAAGGTATCACAATGAACAATCAGAAGATCTTTAAAGCAATCTGGATATGTCAAAGCGAGTGCCGAAGAAAGTTCCATTGATGACCACAGCACATAAGGAGGAAAGGCTCGAGTGGTGCAAGGAAATGCAGGGTACAGACTTTTCAAATGTGATTTTTAAGGGCGAATCAAAGCTTCAGTTTTATAGGATCACTAGAAAGAGATGGTCAAGAGGTGGACGTAGCTGCAAAATGGTTCCGAGGTTCTCACCCAGTGTCATGGTTTGGGGTGGTATAGGCAAACTCGGGGTAACGCCGCTACTAACTATTACAGGAAGGATGGATTCATGCAAGTACTGTCAACTTATACAAGAAGGCATAGTGGAATCCCATAAAGGACAGAGTGGAATACCTTTCAAACTTTTACAGGACAATGCACCTGTACACATGTCAAGACACACCTGTAACTGGTTTGAAACGAGTCACGTGACCTTACAGAAATTTCCAGCGGCATCACCAGACCTGAACCCAATTGAAAATGTGTGGCAGATTATGAAGGACAAATTATAGAAAAATTGGAACTGAAGAGCGTCGTTGAGCGGTCTAATCTCATCCGTCAAATATGGGTGGACCTACCCCAGGATTATAGACAATTTGATTGACAGCATGGGACGCCATATTCAGCAGTCCATCGAGAGAAACGGTGGACTATTGACTTGCATAAATGGAAACTTCAGTATCCAGAGTGGATGTATGAAAAAATATAACTGAATTTATCAGTAAATAAATTTTGAAACCTCGTCTGTGAAAAGTCGCATTTTTTCTGCTCGTTCCTGTATATGGGGCTGAACTCCATGTCGCACAGGGCATGCTCTAAGCCCATATACATAATTTATAGATGAACAACATTTTCAGTGATTTTTAAACAGATGGTTCTTTAGCTGGATTTAAAGGTATTCAAGGAAGGGGCACATCTGAGGTGAAGGGGAAGAGTGAGTGAGTGAGTTTAGTTTTTACGTCTGGGCCAGACAATACAGTGATCAACAGCATAAGCATCGATCTACGCAATTGGGATATGATGACATGTGTCAACCAAGTCAGCGAGCCTGACCCAACTTCCTGAATTTTCAAAGCGTTAATTTACACATTTGGAAGGTAACGATACCAAAGGAAATTTCTTTTCAACCAAAAACGTTCGAGTGGATTGTTTTCAATTTTGGGGAAATCCCCTCCATATCTATAGGGGTAGAGTACAAAGTTATATCTTGATACTTCTAATTTATGAACATTAATCACAAATTACATCTCTTCATCTCAAGAAAAAGTCTCAAATCAAATTTGTTCCACCAAACATTTTTCAATCATGTAATTGATGTTTTTCATATTTGGATACTGGCTTCTTTGTTTTTCGGAAAGGTGTAGTGCAAAGTTTGATACAAATGTTCTATTTTGTCAAGAAAAGTCAATATTGACTGATGTACAGCTGGAGCTGAGAGCCAAAGTTGGGGCTGTTAGTGACCTTGCTCACATTGTTTTAGCTTGGTACACATAACGGTCAAAAACTTAATTTCCTTTCAGTCTTTTCCATATGCGACAACCAATATACCTCCTTGCTGACATTGACATGATCAAACAGATCACAGTGAAGGAGTTCCCATCATTCATAAACCGCTCGGTAAGTAATATGTATATACTGACTCCCAGTGGGGAGACCTCCCTTGCTGGGTGTAGTTACCTCATCTGTTATAGTCCAGATGACAGTACTTAGTTCTGGACTACTGAAAATGAAGCTAAGAGCAAAGTTTGGGTTAGTAGTCTCGAAGGTTCCGGGGATAGTTCCTTCACAACCAGCACTGACAGTGGTCCCACTTTAATACATGGTGCCCTGATCCCCCACCTACACAAGCCCTGGGAACTGACAGTGTATTCCATCTCTGAACCCTCTACTTTAACCTGGTGTTGTACAAGGTCCCCTGTCCCCCACCTACACAAGCCATGGGAACTGACAGTGTATTCCAACTCTGAACCCTCTACTTTAACCTGGTGTTGTGCAAGGTCTCCTGTCCCTCCACCTACACAAGCCCTGGGAACTGACAGTGTATGCCAACTCTGAACCCTCTACTTTAACCTGGTGTTGTACAAGGTCTCCTGTCCTCCACCTACACAAGCCATGGGAACTGACAGTGTATTCCAACTCTGAACCCTCTACTTTAACCTGGTGTTGTTCAAGGTCTCCTGTCCCTCCACCTACACAAGGCCTGGGAACTGACAGTGTATTCCAACTCTGAACCCTCTACATTAACCTAGTGTTGTACAAGGTTCCCTGTCCCTCGACCTACACAAGCCCTGGGAACTGACAGTGTATTCCATCTCTGAAACCTCTACTTTAACCTGGTGTTGTACAAGGTTCCCTGTCCCTCGACCTACACAAGCCATGGGAACTGACAGTGTATTCCATCTCTGAAACCTCTACTTTAACCTGGTGTTGTACAAGGTCTCCTGCCCCTCCACCTACACAAGCCCTGGGAACTGACAGTGTGTTCCATCTCTCAACCCTCCACTCTGGGCTGGTGTTTTGCAAGGTCTCCTCCCCTATAGGTTAGCCTTGGGATCTGACAGTGTAATCTCTCTCAGTGTGTATTGCAGGTGCCCCCTGTCCCCCTTTCCTACAAAACAAGCAGTAGAACACAGAAAAGACAAATGCAAAGTCCCTGAGTTGCTCCATCTTATTGAACTGTAACTGTGCATTCGTTGTTTCTAACTGTTTGATACTTGTTTCATATGTATGAACTTTAATCCTCAGCATTATGCAGAAAATATTTGAATGTAATATGTGAAATTCTTTCAGAAACACTCCAACTTTCCACGAGATCCACTGTTTAAGGATTCCCTGGTTTTCTTGGCTGATGATCACTGGAAGTTCATCCGAGGCGTCCTGAGTCCCACGTTCACAGGAGTCAGGATGAGGGAGGTAAGGAGGTCTTACATGTCCTCGTCATCCCCACATTGATGTCATGACCTCATGGTGTGTAGATCTTGCCCTGGATCCTTGACTCAGATCCCTGCCCTGGATCCTTACCCTGGATCCCTGCCCTGTATCTTCAACCTGGATCCCTGCCCTGTATCCTTGCCCTGGATCCCTGCCCTGGATCCTTGCCCTGGACCCCTGCCCTGTATCATTACCCTGGGTCCCTGTCCTGTATCACTGCCCTGTATCTTCAACCTGGATCCCTGCCCTGTATCACTGCCCTGTATCCTTGCCCTCGACCCCTGCCCTGTATCCTTGCCCAGGATCCCTGCCCTGTATCACTGCCCTGTATCCTTGCCCTGGATCCCTGCCCTGTATCACTGCCCTGTATCTTCAACCTGGATCCCTGCCCTGTATCACTGCCCTGTATCTTCCACCTGGATCCCTGCCCTGTATCACTGCCCTATATCCTTGCCCTGGATCCCTGCCCTGTATCCTTGCCCTGGATCCCTGCCCTGTATCACTGCCCTGTATCACTGCCCTGGATCACTGTCCTGGATCCCTGCCCTGTATCACTGCCCTGGATCCCTGCCCTGTATCACTGCCCTGTATCCTAGCCCATGAGAAATGTGTTTTTTTATAATTTACATGAAGAAGGTTTTGTAGAGGGAACTGGACTGGAATGATTAAATGGAGAACGGACTGAATGGGGGAATATATGTTTACAGATGATACCGCTGATGCAGAAGTGCATTGATTCTCTGGTGACGAACCTCTGGAAAACTACAGAAGGAGGCACAAAAACGATCAAAATGAAAGAGTAAGTAAACTGAACAGTATTGGTTGAGCAGCACTGAGTAGATTCAGGGCAGACGATGTCTGCCATTCCTCATACTGTCTTCAAGGCTATCTTGCCCTGATGATGTAGATCATTGTTCATGCTCGGTGCAAGGCCTCTGTAACATCAGTGTGGGTGATCAAACACCTTGCTCTGAGATTGTGGATCATTGTTCATGCTCTGTGCAAGGCCTCTGTAACATCAGTGTGAGTAGTATGGTAGCAGCACATTTCCGAGGTGACGTAACGTGACGCAACCCCGAAAATATGCTGCTACACTGACGTCATACACGTATGACGTCACGACGATAGGTCTCGTGACGTCACGACCTACAAACGAAGGTAGTGACGTCACTTGATGGTGACGCAACCTCGAAAATATACTACCATACTGACGTCATACACGTATGACGTGTCACGACGATAGGTCTCGTGACGTCACGACCTACAAACGAAGGTAGTGACGTCACGTGATGGTGACGCAACCTCGAAAATATACTACCACACTGACGTCACGCCCTACAACGACGGTATTGACGTCACGTGGTCATTGACTGACTGACTGACTGAGTTTAGTTTTACGCCGCTTTTAGCAATATTCCAGCAATATCACGGCGGGGGACACCAGAAATGGGCTTAACACATTGTGCCCATGTGGGGAATCGAACCCGGGTCTTCGGCGTGACGAGCCAACGCTTTAACCACTAGGCTACCCCACCGCCCCCGTGGTCATTGAACTGTCACAAATAAGGGTAATGGTCGTTTAGTACGTGTTCGTGCATGTACGTGTGTGTGTGTGTTCGCGCGCATATGACATCTACTAATGACGTCACACAGACCAAAATGACCACCATAAGAATCCATCCGTCAAGCTAAATTCTCAATTGCTCTCAGACGCGTTTTTACCTCATAAATGCACCATTAGCGTGCCAATAATATTTGAGTTTTTGAAGGAGGCTAGGGAATCTCGTGCTGTCTATGTAAAGCTCTCTACAATACTAGACCGCAAGAAACACCTAGACACTCTTAATCACCACGACCACCCGCCTGTGTAAAGCTCTCTACAATACAAGACGGTAAGACAGTGATATTCTACATGAAACAAAATGTGAGGTAGAAAACGGCAAAGCAGCAAGAGTGGTACCGAGTGTTACGTTCTTTACGTCAGTGTCGTAAACCCAAAGTGGGAATGAATAATAATTTTGAAGGAGGTCTGTAAATGTCGTACTGCCAATGTAAAGCTCTCTACAATACTAGGCAGCAAAACAAATGTAACAAGACACTCAAAAATAACACACCCTCCAGTTTATGTAAAGCTCTCTACAATACAACACGGAAGGCGGTTATATTCTACCAAATACAACAAAGAAGATATTGAGTCGGACAGTCTATGTAAAGCTCTCTACAATACTAGACCAGCTAGCGAACACCGTGATCCCTCGTTGTTTAAACCACCCCAAAATATACCCACGAGGTAGACAACGTCAACACTTTTATATAAAACACAACAGAGACTAGTAAAAACAACATTTCACAAATTTTATTCGTAAATATGCACATCTACATTTCTACTATCCACAAAGCAACTCAGTTTACGAAACAGTTCTCATGTCAGTATCAAACCTGACGGGGCACGTGATTTTGAGAAATGCGCACGACGAGCTGAACCTGTTGTGTTCAAAGTCTATGTCGTCTTCTGCACACCATTTCCATAGTCTTAATCCACACCATGCACATACGACCTTGTCCGCCATGCCCGTGATAAAAGAATCCTCTCGGGCTAGCTGTCTTCCCTTTTTGAACCATTTGTTCTGGCCATTCCTGGAAAGAAACCATCCTGGCGTGGCAGCTGAGCATTGCTTCGTAACAGTAATTCTGGCTTAAATCCGTCAGTAGCCTCCTAGGTTCCCCATGTGTCTCCGTGTACCAAGAATCTGTCTATCACCGTTTCTCCTCCATTCTCCCTGTTGCGAAACGGTAATTTTGAATCCACATCATCATCGCTGAAACGTTGGATACCATATTTCCTGTCCACAGACAAGGTGTCTTCGCTTCCAGAGTCCTTTGATGGCGATACTTCTCCCTTCTTATTGAAGAAAAGTTTACATCTTTCTCCATCGCTCTGATCATTATACTGAATCGGGAACGAGCAGCAGGACATCGTTGTAATGGAGCACTCAAAATATACAACCTCGCCTCGGCAGACGGCTTCAACTACTTACTGCGTGCTGGGGTGCGTGATACTCTCGACACCATCAGCGTTACGTCGCGAAAAGAATAGGGTGTGACCTAAGGGCCCCTCGTCCTGCCATTGGACGGTAAGGGGTCAAATCCCGCCCTGGACATAATTATACCTATTACATCAAACACAGTCGTTATTGCTGCGCGAGTACCTGTCAGCGTAAGCTAAAAGCCGGGCTTGACACCTCCTTGTATGGTTGCCTAGTAAGACCGGTTTTCGCGACGAGATGATGGCGTGGGAAAAAAATCGACACCATTCCTACAGCTCTATCAATAACCTAATTTTTCCCTCGTCAAAATCCATAGCTCTTAAAGTTCTCGAGTATATTCTTCTTGGCATTATCATACCATCTGAAAACCATGGAATCGCTTTGCAAGCGTGTTACTTTTACTGAAATGACTAACTATATCGTGGGTTAGAAATACCTCGAGATCGCCAGCTACCGAAATATAAACAATGGTGACCGCAAGCTACTGACGATAGACTTTGCACCACGAACTCTGTTGTAGGAATAATGCAAACGACCGTATTTTGTCACAAAATCGTGAAATTCGGGCCATATTCGCGTGTAATCTATACCGTGCGAGTCGTGCATGTGTAATCTACCGGTGCCTCTACGCTTTAAAGCGAGCCAGTGACTTCCGGTTCACTTTTTCTGTCCGTGTTGCAAATAAACAATATAGGATATTTCAGTCTCTTCATCCCGACTATTTTATTACCACACACCTCTTCCAAAGTATCTCTGCTACTTATGCCGCCATAGTTGTTTTTAAGGAAAGGCTCATTACGACCAGACCATTCCAAATCTCGACCGTACAACATTTTAGAAGGATATGTAACTCGTCCCTCGCCTCGTCCAGTGTATAGCGGCATTTCTAAAGTGGTCAAATTCTATTACGCTGTCCAGCTCTCTATAATACACTAACGTCAGAGCTCGGGCGTTATTGCGAAAATTTCAATTCTATGCCGACCTTACCAGAGCTCTTTGGATACACGTGTGACATGTCAGCACCTAAATCGTCGTTAAATCGAACACAAACAATGTAGTGCCGTCTAAAAACTCTTTGAGAGTTACTGTGTAAGCGTGGAATTTCTCCCCAAACCCCCTGTATTTCTAAACAGCTCTAGGTATGTCTGATACATCCGTGTAGAGTCGGGTTCGAAATTGACGGTATGGCATCTTTTGCCTACCTCCTGACCGTTTACTTTAACGTTATTTCCGTCAATCCAAAAGGCTGGAAATTAAAAGGATTTTTGTTCGAAACCCCCGCAAAGGATTCGTTGTCAACGAGACCGAGTACTATTCTTTTAGGAATGTGACCCATTATTAAATGTTCGGAATTATATTCTCTCAGGCCTTGGGGAATGTTGTGTGCCGTAGTTTTCACCTGGGCTATGGGATATTTCACGGTACTTCCACGCGTCAAACCTCTAATATGGCTATCTCTAATAGCTGGTGCTACGCTTACTTGTCTGACATGAAATTGGCTGAGAGTATATGGCAAGCATAACCGGTATGCGAAAGTACCGGCCTCGTCGGTAGTGGAGTGTAACATATAGAAGTTATTCGACTCATTATCAATTCGATTTTTAAAGGTACCCGTCTATGAGGTATCTATGCTGCATGAACAAATCAGAGTGTAATTTCCCAACGAGTTCTAAGGGCCTACTGGGCACACATTTTGCCGTCGTTTAGCGAATGGGGGTTGGAATCTTCATTGCCTAGAGAAAAGTTATTAAAATACCCTGCCTTATCTTTACTGAAATTCTGTGCTACCAAATTGTTGTCTATTTGGCGATTTATCGCAGCTCAGTAGTGTTTCTATGTGCGCTCTGTGTACGGTATGTACCCAAACTGTCTGTTAATTCTAGTTGATTAGAGCCCGCTATTACTCTCACCTCCGAAATAGAGAATGTAGAGTATTTGTCACGGGGGCGCACACGTCTCTATGTCTAGTCACCGTCTCCCCATCAGCGCTCATCACATTGTCAGCGACTGTAGCACGACCATCCGTCGTCTTAAATTCGCATACAATTCTCAGGTAACATTCGGCCAAGTCTACGTAGCTGTTTATAGGGTTATTGATATCAAACCTTATGGTGCCGTCCAACTGCCCGAGGCCTGTAACGTGGCTATATTTGGTCCAGTGTGAATCCGTCATCGTGGAAACCATACCTGGTAATGAAAATAAATCCAGTTCGCTTTTACCACATTGCGCGTGTTCCATATCCCTTGACATCGTGATGGATGGTACGATATCTCTACTAAAATACCAAACGCCTCTTAGACTTTCTCCTACGCTTCTTTCTGCTTGGGAGGGATCTAACAGCCAGAATTCTCTCTTTTAGACGGCGTATTTTTTTACGAGGTGTCTGAGTACCCGTACTAACGAGTCTACGCTTATGGCTCGACGTCCCCGATGGAAATAATCCCAAAACACCTTTCACCGTGCTTTTAAGCGCCCTGCTACTACGTCGTTTTATACTTTCTGACGCTTTTGCACTACCCGTCACCACGTCGCCCACAACACCTGCAGCAGCCTTGGCTCCCTCCCTCAATAGTATTTTACCCGTTGACTTTAGCAGGGGCATCGCTATTCTACCTATAGCCTAAAATATTCCCCGAGTCCAGCACCACCTTGACCATAATGCCTGCCCATGCATACCGGTATGTGATTCCCGTACATCCCTTTACACGTTTATCCTCGCTTTTAAAATGGAGTATCACCACCGACCGACCG